GTTTAGGCTGGCCTTGAACCCACTATGTAGTCCAGGCTGGCCTCATACTCTGGTGATCCTCCTGCCTCAGCCTCCCAAGTGCTGGGATGACAGGCATACGCTACCGCACCCAGCTTGATTTGGTTGTTTTAATCAGTGCCCTATAAAAACTAGCAGCCTAGCCTGGGTAGGGGGTGTTGGTGGTGCTGAAGATTGCAAGTTGTCTACTGCTCTGTAAGTAAACCCAGATAAACTCAGTTACGTACCAGGCGGGATTTGGTCCAGTCTTTGGACTATTGGTGCCTTCTCAGTTTAGAGGCAGATAGATATTCCTTTACATCTCTGGGAAATTTTCAAAACAGATGGATTCCTAATTTGATGAGGTATTGGGAAGGTAATGAAAACTCAGGAAATGGGACCTAACCGTAGAGGGTGGGTGCTTGGAGCTTGCCCTTGGGGCTATTTTGTGTCCTGGGTGCCTCCCCCACTCCTGTCCACCATGAGGTAGCAGCTCTACTCTGCCACATCCTTCTGCCATGATATCTGCCTCATCACAAGCCTAGAGACAACAGAGCCAAGTGACTACGAACTGAAACTATGAGCCAAAATAAACCTTTCCTCTTTTTTTTTTTTGTTTTTCCTTTGTTTTTTTTTTGGTACCGGGGATCCAACTTGGGTCCTTGCACTTGCAAGGCAGGCGGTGGAACCACTGAGCTCAATCCCCGGCCAAATCTTTCTTCTTTTTCTTTTCTCAGGTATCATGTCATAGCAATGAAAAGCTAACATACTAGGTGCCATGGGCATCAGAACAACACATACTGGGGGTCCTGGGCTCATGAGAAGGCCTGGGGAATGGGTAAGATCTGGAACAAGCCTAGAGTCATAGGTGAACATGAGGAAGCATTCCAGGGTCTTGGGGGAAACCTTCGCGTCTCAGAGGTGATTGATTGTTAAGGCTGGGGTGAATCCCAATCCCAACATCATATATCGCGAGTAAGGCTTAAAGTTCATCTCAGGGTTATGGACACAGGCAGGGTCAAGGCCAGGTCAGTGGTAGGGCTGCTGTGAGGCCCAGTATCATGGGGTTCAATCTCAGAGTCATGGGCAGAGCTGGGGTTAATCCCAGGGTTATGGACCCAATTCCAGTACAATAGTCAGGCCTGAGGCGGTGTGAACCTTGGTCTTCCTGGGCTGGGCAGGTGAGATACCAGTTTATGTCCTGGGTGCAAGCGGCACTAGTATGGTAACAGGCTGGGGTTGCCCTGGTCTTTCTCCTTCCCTAGCCTGACTCTCCAGGGACTGGCTGGAGAGGTGGAAGAAGGCAGCTGGGACCCCAGGCAAGGGTGAGGTGTGAGCGGGGACCCCAGGGAGGAGCAGCAATGGGTCAAGCAAATGTGATGTATATACACAATGGAATATACTATGCAAGTGTGATAACCGTGAAATTCTACCGTTTGCTGAGCCACGGTGAGTCTGGAGGACATTATGGTGTGTGAAATAAGTCAGACACAGAAAGACAAATACCAGATAAGTGGAGAATAGAGTAGTGAGTGATAAACTGGGCATGGTGGCACATGCCTGTAATCCCAGCACTCAGGAGGCTGAGGCAGGAGGATCGCTATGAGTTCGAGACCAGCCTGGGCTACACAGTGAGTTCGAGGGCAATCTCAACTACATACCCTGTCTCAAAAAAAAAAAAAAAAAAAGAGAGACTAGAGTAGTAATCATCAAAGGCTGAGAAAGGTATGGGAAAGAGAGAGACAGGGAGATTAATGGGTCTGGGACTGCAGTTAAATAGGAGGAGTCTTTCCAAAGTGAGGGAAGTATGGTGGACAATGGCTTGATGCATATTTCAAATTTTCTAGCAGAGAGTATTTTGTATGTTTTGTAAGAAATA